TCCATATATATATGACCGCCGTCTGGTTGCCTTCCAGGAAAGCCAATTCGCAGAGCCCGCGGCTCGAAAAGCCACCCCAAATCATCACACTTTTTCCACCAAATTGGCGTGAAAACACGTCTGAGGCTCGGTCCGAAGGTCATGCCAGTAATGTTGGAGGCCATCTGGCCCATCCAGGTTGAATATTTTTTCATCTGACCAGATGATGTTGCTCCAGTCTGGCGGTGAAATGAGGTTGGTATTCGCATATTCAAGTCTTGCCTTCATATGGGCCTCGGTCAACTTGGGGGTCGAATTGCGTTTAATATAGTCGAAATTGTCGTTGGAAGACAATAGGGCACGGACCCACCGGGCAGACACAGGCAGTTCCAGTTGGTTGACAAGGGCAGCAGAGGATGCACCGGTTGCTGAAGCCTCACGGAAAAGGCGCCTTTTTTCGCCAAAGAACATTTTGCGTGGCTTTCCGCCACGGTAACGCTGTCCATACATCGCTGGGTTTCGCAGGTATCGTGTGATGGCGCCACGGGACCTCCCGAGGCTTGTTGCCATGAAGTTAACGGATATATTGAGTGCCGCCCACGCGGCAACCTGGCCACGTTCAAACTCGTCAAGTATGACGCCATGTCCCATTCCAGAGTGCTTGGTGCTTGGTCGTATTGAATTGAATTATAGGCAGGTGCAGTCGTACAACGTGTTTTTTGCGAGATTGGAGTGTGTATTGAATGCAATTTCGCAAGTGTCATATTCTGAGTTCCTCGTGCGAAAACTTTGTTTACCGCCTTTTTCATATCACTCATTTCAAGCAAAAGAGTGGTGCATTCTGTGTTTCTTATCCAATCAAACTCTGTCCATTGCGCCGATCAGCAAAAAATTCCACCTATAGAGCATGAGATATGAGAAATTCGTTGCATGTCATATCTAGACTTCCGGCACTGTGTGTTATGCGTCCAGTCTGTGATTCTGATGCAATCGCAGCAATTGGTGCACTGAAAGTTCGCTTGTCTAGTGAAGAGAATATGGACAGGTTTGTTGACATGTTCAATCTCTCATCTTCGATTGGTCTCTCGATGGACAAGAGACAAATCGACGAAATTGTTGCTGCAGTTGACAATATAAATTTGTAAATAGAGAGGTTTCCATTTTGTCCGTTCGTTTCCTGTTTCGCTTCCCACCGTATGTTTTATGAAACCCTACCAAAACCGTTAAGGAAACTCGCCAAACTTGATTGTCATTCTTTTCCCACGACCCTCGGAAAGGAATTCATTCTTTTCCCCGTCCACTGAAGATGACAACACCCGTCAAGCGCCGCGTCTTCACAGAGCGCGAAGACGTGCTCCTTCTGACGCAAGTCAGCGTTGAAATGCCGTTTCTGGCCCACCGAGGCAAAATAATGGATGTTTGGGAATCCGTCGCGCGCAACTTGGCTACAATAGGTGAGTTTGATCGCCCCAATTTCGATGGAAAGAAGGCGCAAGCCCGATTTCTAATCCTATTGCGCGACCATCGTGACAGCAACAACGCCTCGCAACGTGCCTCGGGTGCGGCCGAGCATGTCACTGAAAAGACAGTCCTTTTGGACGACCTTTGCAACCAAGTCGACGAAGCCAAGCAAGAAGAGCACCGCCGAGCGGCCAACGAATGCGAAGAAGCAGCAACTGTGGAGGAGAATGGTGCCACCGTCCGCGACGAAGCCATGCGATCGCAAGGAAAACGAAAGGCCCAGGAAGATGACGACGAATCCAGAGGTGGTGGCGGTGGCAAGATGCTGAAGGTTCTCTCACTGATGAACGAGAGCAACAAGTGCGAATTGGATCTTCGCAAGCTCATGTTTGAAAAGGAGATGGAGGAGAGAAAATTGGACCAGATCAAGGAGCTTGAAGAGCGTGCCAAGGATCGTGAAGCACAGTTGCAACTAGTACAAATGCAGGCTCAACAAGTTCAAATGTTGCAGTCGACATTGACTTCTCTACTATCTGCCCTGGTGAACAAGTTGTGAACGCACAGTACTCGTAGTTTTCGTTCCAGACTAATGAAATGTTACGAATTACGAATTACAGATTTTTAGATGTATTTATCAATCTCACAAATCTACAATTTCCACAGTGTCAAGGTACTCTTCCAGTGTTGGTGGCAGTAGATCAAAGTACATGCTAATTTGATTTCCCCGAAAATGACAGCAATGACAATTTGTCAGCAACATTGCCACGCACACGATTTTGGCCACCGGTGATTGCATGATTTTCGACATGTTCTTGTACGAAACGTGTGGCCACAGCGTTTTCATGATTTTGAAATTCCATTCCACAGCTTGGCGAACACTGCTCATGCATTTGTTGAAGTTTTGTTGTTCCGGCGACAGATTGTTTCCACGATAGCCGCTCAAGACAAATTTCGTCACGCCGTACGCGGGATCCCCATATATGAACTTTGAGGCAAAAATGTCGGGATTTTGAGAAAATGACCGCAGTAAGCCACTCATGGCAAGCATCGCTGAGTCATGGCGACGGCCTTCGACAGGCCCCCAGAAATGAACGCAAATGCCGTCGGGGGCAGAAACGGCCTGAAAATTCAGGCAATGGTATCGTTTGTGTCCGCTGTAAATTTGCTTTTGCAAATTTGAAGCATCTCCAGTGGCTGATATCCGATTTGTTTGAACCTTGGTGCCATCAATAAACCCAAACACACATTCCAACGGAGATCCTTTGGTTGCAACAACATGGCAGTATTGGTTGATGCGGGCCCGAAGCAGCTTTTTGTTCAAAAACAACGTTTGTTTCCACCGGCCAAAAATGTCGTGAACAAGGTACGAAAAGATGTCGCACAGTCGTGCTCGGGAACGTCCAAACATGCGAGACATATCGTGGTAGCGCCGGGGAAATGTCAGCCGGCTCAGTAGCACACACATGGCTTCGTCGCGGCAAATACGAGTATTGTTGGCAGTGATAATGACAGCAGGCAGCCCGAGGAGGTACCCCAGTCGTTTTATGCCGTGGACGTCAAGGCGGAAGTCCAAAAGGGCGTTGGCATTTGCGTACCCGTCGAGCGAAAAGCACACTTTCGGAATGACGGGAGGTTCTATGTACTGGTAAACGTACAATTGCAACAGCATGTCGCGGGATGTCTTAGTCGTCGCGAGTGGCAGCAGTCGGGTGATGTCGCTGACAGAGAGAACCATGTGCAAGCTCCAGAGCGTCAAGCGAAGTGGTAGTGTTGTCGTTTCAATGATGTACAACTACTTCAGGAAACGAATACATCGATGATACTTTTGAAATTTGAATCTGCTCGTTTCCTGCTCAGCTCCTCGGAAGCGAAACAGGAAACGAAAGGACTGGTATGAAACCTCTCTAATGGCAAGTTGTTCATTCATCATATCATGGTGTTGTTGGTTGTAACATTAGACTTTTGAATAAAAATACGATGTTATCAGCAAGTCAGCATACAATTTTCAAGTGTAGATTTCCCTCTTCATCATTCCACAACAGTATTTTGAAACGGAGGAAGTACTTGCTCATCTGTTTGCAACTGACACTATTCCAATGACGCAAAAACATTGAAAGTTCTGGGAATAAAGTGATCGCGACGAATACGTGAGAATGTGAGTTTTGTGAAGATTTTAGGAATCGAAGCGCTGAGGTTTCGACCACACCACCGGGCGTTGTGACTATGCGAAGCCTCAATCACCCTCGAAGACCCTATGACTTCTTCAACACATAGCGCCTACCACGGCCACGTATTGTGCTCCTGAGCGAGCATCCTCTACCGCGCGCCGTTCCCAAGTCCACGATCTCGTTCGTCGAACCTGGCTGAGCTGCCATTGGTTGATGAATTGTCTGAACACAACAAACATTCTCGTGTTTTGTGTTGTGTCGAAGGTCCCAGCGAAGATGGCGGCGACGGCATCCGCACCTGGTGTGAGTCCTGCCACAACATCGACCGCGGCTAGCGCGCTGCTTGACGATCTTTCAAAGCACGAAAAAGTCGCAATGCACAGAGTTGACGCGACAGACGAAGCGGCCACGGCGAGCGACGCGTGGAATATCATGGAAGACTTGGAATTCCTCATTGCAACAGACGCGGAACTCCAGGACGAGTTTTCTCATGTTTGTGATCTCCTTGACGACAGCTTTCCCATTGACGACATTTTACCGAGCTGGAGCGAGTCGACAGCCGATGTTTTGTCGGACACCACGTCCAACGACGCGAGTTCTCCTGTTTCAAACACCAGTCTCCACGAACACAAGACGCAGCCGCCGCGCGCCGCACGGAAGCGCGTGAATCGTCAAAAGGAAGAAATTCGTTACTTGCAGAAACAAGTGAGTGCCCTGCAGGCCAAGCTCGCACACGACAAGAAGCGTGCGTCGAATCTGACGCCGTTCAATATGTCGGCATGGGAGGCCGCGGCTAGGCAGGAGCGACTGGAGAAGCGCCGCGCAGTCATAGAAAACGATCAACTCCGTGCGTCTATCATGGAAGGGAGCATGTTTATCCAGCAAATTCAGACCATGATGAACAAGAAACCTCGTTGGGCGACGGTACTTGCCACCATATATCCAAGTACAGCACGACATTTCACGTCCTCATCTGGCTAGTCCACGTATGGTGGTGCCGACTGGCAGGAATACAAGCTCTCAGCCCACGCGACGCTGCGCGCGGCCGCCATTCACGCTATTGCCGACCGCCAGTACCACAGACAAGCCAATGCGTTCATCTTGGCTCAAGTCGTCGGTCAGAAAGATGATTTGTTCCGCGCCACACCCAAAACCCTGTCCAGTGGCCAAAACGTGCTGGAGGTTGTCAATCACACCACGATCCAGCTTCCATATCGCATCGCGATGGACGCTGTCTGGCGCACATTTCGCGGCGACCTCGGCCCCATGCTGCTCGACGACGCTTGCAGCGAGGTATGCCGCTGCTTCCGAGTCATCCGTTGTGTCGTAGTTTGACCGGGTGGAGGTGTGTGGTTCGCTTGACGAGATGGCTCGTACGTAGACCATGGAGAACATTGACGAATGGACGCGTTACGAGCGGTTCTCGCAGCGACGGAGAAGCAAATCATTGAGCGGGATGGAGGGCTTTCCTGCAAGTCCTCGCGCCAACCACGCCCCAGCCATTGCCTTTACCAACACCATCATCAAGCTGTTCCAGGAAGACGGCCGTGACGTTCTAGTGTTTCGATCGGTCTTGGAAGATGAGTTGGAGCCTCACATGACTCGGCGCGCCGTCGACGACATGGCGGGATGGTGCGGAGGACGATTCGCATCGTGGACACACCTGATGGATGTATCCTGGCCGTAGGATCGTGACGTCGGCCAACTCCGCCAACACCTGTGGCTTGACCAGCGTGATCCACATGCCCCTCGAGACCACACCATCTCCCGACATGACGACACCTGAAGTCCGTGGCCTCGTCGAAGCATTGAAATCTCTGTCGTTCCAACCGCAAACTGCGACGCAACCACCCCCCGTCCCTGGACGCGATGCTTTCTTCAAGCGGGCCAAGCTATTTGACACCGCCATGAAGTTGGCTCTGCAGGACGCAGTGCGGGACTTTTCCGGTGCGTCGATCATAGACTCGTCCAACTAGGGGACGCTAAATATTGTATTCAACGTGTGATTTGCACCACCGCGCTGCGCTCAGCTAATGAACACGGCTTTGGATTTTGAATGTCGTCGCCACCGCTCTCACAGACGGTTTGGATTTTTGGAACAAAGCAGCAACGGAATCCCCTTGCGCTGGGGTTTGGTTGCAGTCAATGGATTTGCAAGATCGCATCAGGACCCGTGTGTGCCGCCAACAGTGCCCCCGGCAATCGTGTGCATCGTACCTGCTGCAAGTCCGCACCATGGATGGTGGTGGTAGAAAATCACGACCTTGGCTGGCCGAAAGACTAAAGTAGAAAATCACAACGTTGAATGGTCGAAAGGCTAAAATACATACTCATCCGGTGACGTCAATTTTGAACCAACTTCCACAAACGCCCCCCACTCTCCCTCATGCCTGAATCGTGTCTACAACAACGCAAAAGACCCTAACACTATGCGGTACATGAAGGGAATGAGGGACTTTCTCGATGGCGGAAAATGGCCAGCTTGCACCCGATACGTCCAAGGTAATGCCTGAGCTTCTTGGTTGCCACTGGTGCACGATTCCTTGCATTTGGAGTCGCAGCCGCTGGCGTCGGGCTCTTTCGACGGTGACTTTGGTGATGCAGATGCATAATTGTTGTGGACAAGTTGCAATTTCAACAATTCAGCAGTTTTGGCACTTACGGAGAAATGACAATACGTTGAGTTTCTTGTGCAAGTTACACGAGAACAAAGACAGCGGAATATAAGAGTACAAATATTCAGTATATAGAAGAAATGAAAAATATTTGCAATGTTACAAATGTCAGAGCAATTTATGGAGAGGGATTTCTCAAGATCATCCAACGAGTGGGAATCTTTCTCACGATCGTCCAAATTAACCGGTCGTGGGGTATTTTTATTCCTAATCGTCCATCGCGGCATGATTGTCTTAAAGTCTCTTGAGCAGGAAGACGGTGCATACCTACAGGAAACGACGGGAAAATGACCCCAGTGGTACTTCACCATGTTTTAATATTAGACAGATTTCACAAAGGCAGGTTCTGTTCTACTGATCTCCCCCCCTAAACGAAACGGGTCAAAGTGAATATAACTTGAAGTATTATAATATTATATTTCGAAGTACGTTTGAAATTCAAATGGTTGTGCTGTGTATTTCAATAGTTTATACCTCCAATGTTTTATAGATTGTACAAATAGCATAAAGTGGACCGTTTCGATTAGGGGGGGAGATCAGTATCTGCAACCTATCTCTCAGATTCAATAAGTTTGGAACCCACCTGTGACAACTTGTTGCAGCCGATGCCAAAATTGCACGATTTTACAACCAGTACTTCATCTGCTGCATCCGCATAAATTCTCATTTCGTGTCGCCATCATGGCTGATGAGGTGCAGCCTGATCCAGACTCCCTAGCGCGGAAATGATGGAGTGATGCGATCTCATGGCATGACAGCATTTGCGGATGTGCAGTCGTAACAGCTGTATTTTGATTGGACTAATTTAGCGGATAGAACCTGTTTGAATCGGATGACTTGCGAAAGTCAATTTTTGTGATTTCATTCTATTTTTGTTCTGAATTTTAGGTTACAGATACTGTTGAACAGAACCAACGTTTGCTAAATCTGTCTAATGCCGCACTTTTGAGTCTGCAACAAGAAATTGTATGATTTTTAGCCAATGGGTGATAAGTACTTCTACGACCTAATACATGATATCATGCATCTTGGATGTACTCTCAAATCAATGCCTGAAGCTGCTCACTTCACCCTCGGTGAACTCTGCAAATCCGACACTTTCATCCGGCAACGATGTGATTGGTCGATTTCCAGTAAAGTTGCACATGTAAAGTATTCCCCAAGTT